CCTTCCAGGGTGACCCTGACTGTGGAGTGGCTGGGACTTGTGGGTTTTTTGGTTCGCCCTTTGCTTCTTGCCTTGTTCCCCCCCTTCGGGCACCCCTTGTTGCGGCCCTGGAGATGCAACCCTTCTGCCTCTCAGGGTGCTTAAAGGCATTGCTTCTTCCTCCTTTACAACCTTTCAGCCGGACCCTCCTCCCTCCTTACTGTGGAAGGGATACCAGAGTCTTTGGAGCTTACTGGGGGTGACCCCATGTCAGAGCTGGATGAGGGCAGTAGGAGGCACCTCCTTGAACCATTTTCTTTTCTGCCCTCCACCCCTCATTCTCCATCCTCATCCCCCATGGCCTGGGGCCAGAAATGGAACTGGGCTTTGCATCAGTCCAAGAGGACTGTGACAGCTGCCAGAGAACATTCTGGCATTAGAGGGTTTTCTGGAGGCTTCCAGAAAGGGCTGACCCCACTGCTCCACTGCTCCCTCTGACCTGCTCTAGTTCCAGAACATAGCTTGGAGGCACTCCAGGGAGAAGTTGGGGAGCTCAGATTTACTCCCCAATATGTGTATGCTACCATACACTCGCTAGCTCCTGCCACTCCTCCTCCCGCCTGACTCTGCTCAGATGGCCTCCCTGCCCACATCCTGCCCACATCCTGCCCCACCTGGCCATCCTCCCCCTAGTGTCTCCCCTGGTGGAAACTCACCTGCCTTCAGATCCTGTGGATCCTTTCTCCCTAACCCTTGGCCTGGGGCTGTTTCCCCTGGGAAATGGCTGTCCCTGCCCTAACCTGACTGGTGGGCAGTGAGGGGGCAGAGATGGCGACTTATTGAGAGTTGGGTAAGCGGGGATGTCTAGGATCCAGTTTAGGCCAAGGGAACTCAGCCATGCTTATTCCTCTCTCATCTCAAGTATCCACTTCACGTGTCTTCTGGGCCCCAGCTCAGACGTCAGTGCGGGGTGGGGAAGCTGGTGCTGGCACACCGCCCCTCAAGGCCAGGGGAGGCAGCGCTCTCCTGGGACAGGAGCCCCAGAGGGGGGCGGGCTCTAGCCAGCCCAGCATGGCCCAAACCCCCAGCACAGGGCAGCAGCACTGCGCTCCTGGGCCACATTCTTCCTTTTCTTTCCCAAGGCTGCTCCTTGGACACCTCTGACGATTGTGAAGGTGCAGAAGCTATGGAAAAGGAGATCAGTGCTCTGAGTGTAATTTGCTTCCTCCTTACTTCTTTCCTGGTCTCCTCATGCCTGCTTCTCCTGCCTCCTCTTCCTCCCCCAACCAACCTCCCGCTTCTCTTTGATTCCTGACTCCTGCCTAATCCAGGAAGCCGAGGTCCCTGGGTCTGCAAAGTGGCTCAGCCCTCCCAGCCCAGCATGCTCCCCATCATCCTCTCCTTAGCAGTGAACCTGCTGATTTGGTCAAATTAGGGGGCTCCTCTTGGGATACTGAGTGACCAGGTGGGAGGGCTGGGTTGAGCCCCATGCTGCAACCCCACCGGAACCTGCCCGGAATCTCCATGTGGGCCTGGTCCAGGTTGGGCACCCCTGTACTAACTCTGAGTGCCTGTGATCCCCACTCTTCCAGCTCTCAGGACTTTTCCAGCTGGATGACAGTTACGAAACCTGTTCTTCCAAATCTATGGTGGAAACGGGAGAAACCATCCCGGGAGAAAGCATCCCGGGAGGAAAAGAAGGCAGTGAGGAAGACACGTGAGTGTGAGACAGCAAACTACGCAAATTTGTTAGCCATTGTTTCTCTGACTTTCTTCTTGAAATTTCAGGACAACAAACAAAACCGAGGACAGTGCTGGGGTGTCTGCTGGGCTGCTTGCCCCTGCAGGAGAGAAGACTGGTGTCCAGGCAAAGGCCTTGGCAGCCCAGGAAGGCTGCCTGAAGACCCCCGCGGCAGAGAACTGACCAGCATTCCAGACACCCACGTCCGGGCTCAGCTGAAGCCCAGGAGAGGCTGCTGTGGTCACTGACGGCTGTGCCCGCCCCTCAGCAGAAAGCAGCAAAGTGGCCTAAGAGTCTCCAGGTCTGCAGGGTTGGCAGGGCACGCCAGGGCTGCCTCCCAGGAACTTGAAGGCTGTCCCCCTTCTTCCACCGCGGTTCCCTTGCCCCTGAGGGACTGAGGGATGCCCGTGCCCACCACATTAGCCCGACCCAGTGTGGAGGGCTCAACAGAGGAGTTCTCAAGGCAAAGGGCCCGCGAGGGAAGGATTGTCTTTGGAAAGCTGTCTCGTGCCCTGCGGGGTGTTCAGCAGCACCCCTCCTGTGCCCACTGGGTGCCTGTACAGCCTCAACCACCCACCCAGACGGGGAAATCCGAACTGCCAAATTCACCATGGGGTGGCAGTGGCTGAGAACCTGTTTTCCGAACTTTGGAGGCACCTGAATGCCTCAAACTCTACCGGCACAACCCTGCTGCTCTTCTGGAATCTCTGCAAGGATGTTAATGTGGCGCTTGTGTAACTTTGTGCCAGGATTGCTGGTCTCAGAGAGGGTGGTTATTCGTCAGTTTCTGAGAGATTTAAGTTTCGAGTTATTAGGTTTTAAATTCGTTTCAGTTCCATTTTCGTTTTGTTACTTTTTAGTTAGTTTTCACTTATTTTAATTTTGTAGTTATTTACTGTTGTGGTTTGTAATTCTTTTGTCTTCGAGCTTATTTCGTTTTTGCGTATCTCGTTTTCCAGTTACTTACTTAAGGCTATTTTGCTTTGAGAGTTATATATTTCCAGGCTAGCTTAGAACTGTTACTTTTTAATTCTCCTTACAATTTTTAACATCTGCATTATTTATTTTCATAGTTACTCTATTTTTAATTAATGGCATTTTGGGTTATTTACTTATAGAGTTACTTATTTGAATACTAAAAACTCACTGGATGTTTTTGAATTATTTTAGCTATTAATTTTCAGAGAAATATAATTTGTTACTCTGGTTTTTCCTATTAAGTAATTTTAAAAATTACTTGTATTCAGTTATTTATTCTCAATTGTTTTAGGTTCTGGGTTTTTTTATTTTTATATTCTTTTGTTTTGTTATTTAGTTATTTGGTTATAAGTTATTTCATTTTCAGTTACTGCATTTTGAACAATTTTTTCTGAATTTTTTTTATTTTCAGAATTTTTGAGAGTTGGTTTCTGAGTTATTTTAATTTGTAATTATTTTCATTTATCTCTTGTCAGTTATGTCTTTGCCTTTTAATTTTGTCTATCCTATGTTTTTACTCATTTCATTTTCAGATTTGTTTATTTTTTAAAGAATTTTTAGTATTAAAATTGCCTAGTCTGTCCTTCAGGATCTAGTCAAAAGAGGCTCATTATTCCAGTTATTTTAACAGAGAATTTAATATAAATGATTTTTAACTGGCTATTGAAAAGTTTAAAAGGGTAAAACAAGTAAAAATGAAATATGGAGAGTTAAACTACTAAAAGCAGCTCAGTGGTTGAGGGGACGGGGGAAGAATCTAGAATTCTCCCAACTCAGAAGCTTGAGGTGGCCCACACACTAGGGGTTAGCCCCCGTAGGGAGGCTGTGCTGTCCAGTCGATGAGTACCCCAGGAACGGGAAAGAATGGGATGCAGAGCTATGCAGACTGCTTCCTGCCACTGGTACTGGTGTCTCTCAAAGGTTGTGATGAGGTTGCTTGTGGAACTGTCAGGAAAATGGCAAGTTGTGACTTCCCAGAGCCCTCTATTGCTCCCAGGGTAGAGATCAGTTGGTTGCTAGGATGCTCACAGGAAACCCAATACACAGGGGCTCCACTCCCTCCACCAACCTCTAGCCAGCCAACCTTGCTGGCCAAGCCTGACAGAAGCAGCTGGCCCCAGACCACAAGGAGAGAGTAGAAGAGCAGGCCAGGCACTGAGAAACATAGCTGATGATCAGCATATTGATCTCTGTCTGCAATTGTTTAGCTTTCAAATTAGTTTTGAACTCAGTTTTGAAATTGTGAAGGGTGATTTCTTTTTAACTTTTTTCCCTAGCTGTGGGATCTGAGTTTCCAATCCGTCAATTTGTTTCGGGAATGAAACAGGAAACATTTGGTCGTAATCTCTGCCATGAGACTATGAAAATCACTGTGGAATCCAAGGAGACAAAAATTGTTTCACTGTGTTCATAAGGAAATCTATTGACTATGTGGCCCCCAAACAAGGCAGAGATTGAGGGGAGCCTGTGGAGGGTGCTGCTCAGCACAACTGTCCAGCAGAGTACTCTTCTTTGACATTTTTCTTAGAGTCCAACTGTGTTGTAAAGTCACCCTCTCTTGCCCCCATTCCTAGTAACAAAGTGTCTTTCTCGGCAGAGTATGCTTCAACATGTGGACTATAATCCTTATTATTTTCACAACAAAATAAACTTCTTCCCACATTTCCAGGAGACCTTAGAACTTTGCTTGCATTATGTCATAACCCACATTGTTCCAATTTAACCATAGGAACGTTTCTATCTGTATGAATCTGTAAGTCACTCAATTCAACACCTACTCCAGGCACCCCCTGGAGGAAGGGGCTGGCCCAGGCGGGACCAGGGGGCATGAAGATGAAGGAACAGCTCACAGTTCATTTGAGGGAGATGGTTTGGATCAGATCACCCCAGTGTGGTTTGAGGAACACTACGGGACTCTGTGGCCCACCCCTGACTCCTAGTGTTGCCAGGTGGGGGTGCCAGCTCAGAGGAGGAGGAGGAGGAGAAGCATCCAGAATGGCTAATGGAGGCGCTGCCGTTAGGTGCTGGCCCCAGTGTTTGCAGCAGGCAGGCTTCAGGAGGGAGCCAGCCCCAGAGTCCGTGTTCTTCTTGCTCTTACTGTTCTAACCACAGCTTTCCAAGGCACTCTGACCTGCTCTTTCTGGAATTATTCACTTCATTCCCGGCTCTCTCCTTGTTCACCCACTCTTTTCCACATATCCTTGAAGGTGAATCCTTCCCTCCTCCACATCTGAGTTGTGAATTAATGTCTGTGGAACGGGGGAAGGTTGAGACCAGCCTTCTCTGAGGTGCAGGTGAGGACAACTGCAGGCTAGGCAGAGAGAAGGGCAGAGGCGGCTGCTGTGGGGCCACAGAGTAGAGCTGCAGACCACGGCGGTGGGGAGCGGGCTCTTGGAATAACCAATCTTCACCTTCAACTGCATTCAACAGCCTTTATTTCCTAGGGTGTGGCTGCCTATCCCATAGCAGGAAACCTGCATTAGATCCAACCCAGGCCTGTGAATTCAAGAGACTGGAATTTTTAAAAGCACACAGAGACTTTTGTTGCATTAAACTTTTCTCCTTTGTTCTCTTTGATTATCTTAACAATCACACTACATTTCTCAATGAAAATATGTCATAACTATAGTTAGACAGTTAGACAGGAGAGGTTATTCTACTCAGGAACCATCACTTGGATCTCCTTAAAGACTTTTGACCACTGCCTACTCAAGTGCTCACTACAGAAGCACAGCCCTAAGTTTTCTCAATTCAGTTGTTTTCTGAGTCTACAGAAATGGCCACACTTGATGGTGTTGACAGAATATAAAGTGCCCAGACTTCACAAAAGGAAACACCACAAGTCTCACAACCCCAACAAGACCACTAAAATGGCAACCAGACATGCCATTTAAAAACAAATGTCATTGCTGATGTCCCCAGGTGCTGACCCCTAGTGCTCTGGGACAGGTCAAAGCTCTCCCCTTCCACTTTGGCCACTTTGCCCATACCTCACACTGCTGCTTTGCTGACAGATATCCCCTGGAAGAAAGGTCCTCTGCTGGGCTCAGGGAATCATACCTCAGTGAATGCAAAGTGGACTATGAGGTGGCATGGTGCCAGCGGAGTTATTCTCCTAAGGCCACGCAAGACACATGGGATGCTCCCAGCAGACTCACTCTCTCTGCTCCTATAGGACACTTGCACACAGCTCACTCAGGAAATAGTTGTTATTTTTTTTAGACTTATTAAAAATTGGGGCCCTCCCTGGTGGCACAGTAGGTTAAAGCACAGCACAAAGAAGCTTAAGCCACTTCCAAATAAGTTTGATCCCCTCCTGCCCCGGAGGTGACCACATGGCATGGCAGACCTCTCCTGACCCGCCCGCTGCTCCCCTCAGCAGTGTACTTCTACGATCTGCCTGTTCTGCTCCCTGCTCTGTCTCTGGTGAATCCTCTCACCCTCTGCATCTCTGGCCTGTACCCCAGTTCTGTACGAATAAATAAATAAATCTTAAAAAAAAATTGGAAGGGGAAAGATAAAGAGTGGCTCTTGTGTGGGTGAAGTTCATGTTGTTTTTCCTTTTGAGTAAATGGAAAGACTAAGAATTGTGAGATTAAAATCCCAGCCCTCTTTTACAAGTTGTCCAAACTATACAAGTCTATATTATGTTGCCTGCTTCCCACTAGAGGGACTCAGATTTCAACTTATTGCTGAGGAGTGGAAAGGCAGGAACTCCAGAGGCAAGTGGCCTGACTGATGCAGTAGCACTAAAAACAACCCTAGATCTGTCAAATCTGGTGGTAGTTGGATTCCATAGTCAACACCAAACATGCATTATGAAACAGTCAAAAAGGTTAAAGATCCTTTACACCAGCATTTAACATGGTATATTTTGTAGAACGGGCAGATGAATGTAAAATTTTAATGTTAATCTCACAACAACAAAAAAATTATTTATCTAAACAATTATATCAACAATTCATATTCCAGTCCTCCTTGTGTTGATCCAAATTAGAGGACTAAAGGATATGAGAACTCTTGCGGGAAGGAAGTCTGTATGCTCCTATTAAACTCATGAATTCCTAAACTTATTTGACCACAAAAACCTCTTCTTTATGGACAAGAACATTCCATATGCTTTAGTAGGGAGAAAGGCTAAGTTGCTATAACAAAGAGATCCAACAATACAGGGACTTAGAAAATTCTGTCTCATGAGACAGCAGGGGTTGGGATGCAGATGGTTCTGCTCCATTGAGAGATACCTGGTTCTTTCCTTTTAGTTCTTCCATCATCCCCTGGAACATTGTCCTAATCTCCCTCATCAAAAGGATCTCAGGAATGTCTAGTTTCCAGCTCAAAGAAAGGAGATAGAACGTTGAAGATGGCAAGCACAGTTTAAAATTAAGCCCAGCTTGCAGATGGCACACACACCTTGCCTTAGATTCTTTAAATAAAAGCTTTGCTGCCTGGCCCACACCAGCCTACAACAAAGGTAGCCTGTAGCTTGGGGACCTAACTGGGAGGCCATTGCCCAGCTCCAACTTTATTACAATGTGTCTGTGTAACCCAGCCAGCTTGTTGCAAAGCATGGACAAGAATCCAAGTCTCTCAACAGTTACACCAGAATTTTTATTCTGCACTAACATACGTTTAATCATCAACAAGTATCAAACAAATAAACAATCATACTCAGGTATCAGTGGCCTGTATGAGGATCCAAATTATTTAAACAGGGCAGGCCAATCCATGATTTAGTTCACTGTCCAAACAGGACTTGGGACCACTCTGGCTCCCAATTTCTTTTCCCTAGGCTGTCTCACCAGTCAAGCTTCCAGATGGTTTCAGCTCTAGCTGATGTGTTGGCTAAGAACTCATGAGGGAATCCAACCTGAAAGAACTTGGATTCATAAGTGAAGTAAGTAGGAGAAAGACAATACTGGCTGGTGTCACTTAGGTGTGGAATACGGAGAAACAAACAAAAGGTCAAATAAAGCCAAAACAATAACGTACCCTAGAAATCTGACTGTAGAACTGAGGCTACCAGAGGGGGAGGAAAAGGAGGAGGAGAGAGGTCAAAGCGGGGAGGGAGCACTATGGACTGTGGTAGAGGACTGTGGGTGATTTGTGAGAGGGAGTAGTGTGGTAACAATACTTGAAGGGGGAAACTCTAAATTACAATATTGTGATTTTTTTTTACCTCAGTAAATAAATAAATAAAGTGAATAAATTAAGTCCCTTGGAAAAGGAAAAGTGGGGGTGGAGGGGTAACCTGGTTAGTCCAGATTGTACTGACAGACAATAGATCTCTATGTAGCTGTTAAAAATCTTTTCCACTTGAGATGTAGAATGTTAGAAAAGGCACCATTCCCAAGCTTGCAAGATCGAAAGTTTGGGAAATACACAAATTCATGAGTTTTCTTGAATCCTTAAGAAATCTGAGTCCACAAGACAACCATCTAACCTGAAATCTGAGGAAAGACAGGCACCTCCCAAGAAAGACGTGACTTCAGTTTTTGTTTGCCTGGGGCAGCCGCTGCTATATACACTAGTAAATTCAGTAAAATTGTTGCTGATGTCCCAGGAACACTGCAAGGGAAAACAGAAAGCCTGGGACCACAAGTACAATATAAATTTGCACCCACTTGCTGAGGCAGATGTTTCTCTAGTAATCTCAAAGCACACTCACAAAAATGAATAGAGAAATTCCTGGGAAGGCATGTTTCCTGGCTCAGTCTTGCGGGAGGGAAGTATCAGTTACTCAAGGAAAGATGGGATCTGAGATGAGACTCATATTCTATTGCTCTATTTCTCCTGCAGAACCAACTGTGGGCTAAGGGCTATAAACCCACCCATAGAGGGTTGGTAAGTCCAGCAGACCTGGGGAGAGGTAACAGAAAGAAATCCAATATCAAATCCCAGGGAAGGGGCGAGAACTTGTGCTGGTGGAGAGACAGAAATACTTGGGAGGTTACCTTCATCAAGCCCTGGGCACATGCATGATTGAGGTTAATCAGAACAGAGCTCCTCACCCCTCAAGATCACTACCACATAACAAACTCTGACTAACAAGTAACAATAGAATATGACTAGAACTACAGGTTCACGGGAAAGAGACTCTAACATATAGTAGGGAAGACACTGAGGAAAACATTTCGGCAAACAAATACCCTAAACACAGGTTAGCACTTGTAGAGTTTGAAGCATGGGACGTAATTAGGGTGACTATAAAAACACAAATCGGCCCTCCCTGGTGGCGCAGCGCATTAAAGTGCAGCACTAAGAAGCTAAAGCTACTTCCGCATGAGTTCGATTCCCGCCTGCCC